TTTTTAATCTTTCCAATTTGCTTCAGGTGGATTAAAACAGTTTTATCACTAACATCGCAGTCTGCAGCTAACTCGGACGTGGTTTGCGATGGATCCGCTTCCAAAATAGCCTTTAGTTCAAGGGGCATGTTCTGCAGGTCGAAATTTCTAGAATAAAAACGTTGGAATCAAAAACGCACTGTATTTTCTTTTGCAACACAACCACCACACACATTTTTAACCTTTCGAGCCGTTTTCTTATTTCCTTTAATTTTTTCCCTATTGTTAATTGTTTATTATTATATTAATTTAGTTAACACTAGCGGGTGGTATATGGTGTTTTGCCGGTATTAGTTTTACTTTGCTTGTATTTTTTAGTAATACTATTTATATTATTTATATTTATTTTCATATTTAAGTACTTATGTTATTTTCTGATGATGAAAATTCTTCTGATAATTTTTTATCAGCATGTAGTAGCGTAAATGATAGTTTTGCAAGTATTTCTGCTTTATCCGACTCACTCAGTACTTTTTTCTCTGATGTATCAAAAAATTTCAATGCTGTTCATATAAATGCTCAAAGCATTCCGGCTCATTTTTCTGATATGCTAACATATTTTGACTGTAAGAACATTCATGCCATACTTGTCTCAGAGTCATGGCTTAAGCCATGTCTACCCTCTTCTACATATTCTTTGCCAGGCTTTAACTTAATAAGGGATGACCATACGACGCATGGAGGGGGTGGGGTCGCTATATATCTCCGTGCTCATATTCCATTCACAGTGGTTGATATGTCACCTCAGCCACCACTACAGAATGCTGGTGAACACCTCTTCTTGGAGATTAGCCTGTGCCATACTAAAGCACTTCTAGGTGTGTATTACTGTCCCTCTTCTCGTATAAACTATTTTTCTTCTCTTAATAATATATTGGAGTCCCTTTGTCCTTCTTACAGTCATACTATTATCATGGGTGACTTCAACACTTGTCTTCTTAAAAATGACTTCCGTTCAGCAGCTTTTCATTCGATTCTCCAATCTAATAATTTATTCTTACCTTCTTTGAATGCCACCCATAATTTTCCCAACTGCACTCCCTCGCTTCTTGACCTTATCATCGTCTCATCTTCTCAACATATCGCTAAATATGGTCAATTCCCGGCTGATGCCTTCTCTTATCATGACCTGATTTTTCTCTCATGCAAGATCCGCCCACCAAAAGCTAAGCCGAAAATTCTATTGCAGCGTAATTTTAATGGTATTAACAACAAGAAACTTTGCGAGGATGCTGCTAAAATTGATTGGTCACAGCTTCTCGACAGTAACTCTGTAAATGAAAAAGTGAATCTATTTATATCAGCGCTCACAGTGTTGTATGATGTTCACGCCCCTATATCGACCAGTGAAAATGAAGCAACGACCATCTCCATGGCTTACCGATGACATTAAACGTTTGTCAGAGCGGAAGGCTGCTGCTAAAAATAAGTACAAACGTAAACTTTCTTTCTCCAACTGGGAAAAGTATGTTGAAATTCGCAATCAATGCAATAAGGTGTGTAGGAGTGCACAACGCCAATTTATTCACAACTCCGTTGAAGTCGAAGATCCAGCAAAAGTCTAGAAATTTCTAAGATCATCTGGGCATAAGAAAACAGCGTCAAGAATCTAACTATAGTAATTTAGATATTAATTCCCTTAATAGGCACTTCTCGTCTTCACATGGCCTTGATTTGACAAGCAAGTCTAACACTTTGGATTATCTTTCATCTCTTCCGTGCCCAGACTATCCACGATTTTCATTTCATCAATTTTCTGACTGTGATGTTAAGAAGAGCATTATGTCAATAACCTCCAGTGCTGTGGGTGTGGACTCTATCAGTAGGAAAATGATTACCCTTATCCTTGACGAAATCCTTCCTATTATCTCCCATATTCTTAATCAATCCATAAACACGGGTATATTTCCTTCAGTCTGGAAAGATGCTTCCGTTATCCCGTTACCCAAAAAAATCGAAACCACTATCCTTCACAGACTATAGGCCTATTTCCATTTTACCATTTCTTTCCAAAGTCCTGGAACGCCTTATTCACAACCAGTTGTCCAGTTTCCTTTTCAAAAATCAACTCCTTAATTCCTACCAATCAGGTTTCCGCGCTGGTCTTAGTACTACTACTGCACTGGTGAATGTAACTGAAGATATAAGATCAGGAATGGAACATGATAAAGTTACGGTTCTCGCTCTACTTGATTTCAGTAACGCATTTAACACCGTTGACTTTGACATTTTGCTTGGCATATTGCGCTCTATTAACATATCTCCGGCAGTTATTGACTGGTTTCGTAGTTACCTGTCTGGGCGCCGACAGCAAAATCGCATTGAGGATTCCTTTTCTACTTGGTGTGATATTTTTGCTGGTGTACCGCAGGGTGGCGTTTTATCTCCATTACTTTTCGCTATTTTTATCAACTCCATCTCACGCCAGTTAGTTTCATCTTACCACCTTTATGCAGATGATTTACAAGTTTATTCTCAAGCTTGTCCTGATCGACTTAGAAATAATGTGTGACTGGAGCAAGTCTTATGGCATAAAAGTAAATGCACTGAAAACCCAAGTCATTATTGTTGGCAGTCCCGCAATGACAAATAAAATCAACCGCTCATGTTTACCTGCAATTTTGTTCGATGGTGTTGCTTTAGTCCCTAGTGATAGCGTACGAAATCTGGGGATAGTTATAGATAAAAACTTGACATGGGGGCCACAGATCGAGCAGACGAGTCGGAAAATGTTTGCTGCAGCTGGTTCCTTGAAGAGGCTACGTAACTTCTTGCCTGTGGCCACTAAAATTGCGCTCGCACAATCCCTTCTTCTTCCAATACTGGATTACTCCGATGTCAGCTATCTAGACTTAACTGAGGAGCAACTGAATAAACTTGAGAGACTTCAAAATTTTTGTATTAGATTCATATTTGGGTTACGCAAGTATGATCATGTATCTGATTTTCGCACTAAGCTCAAGTGGTTGCCAATTCGACTTCGTCGGAATGCACATATTGTTTCCCTGCTTTACAGTATACTGTTCAATCCTCTCTCACCAACTTATCTTAAGGAACGTTAAAAGTTCCTTAGTGACACGCACTGTCGTGTTTTGAGATCATCGGAGAACCTAAAACTGCAGGTGCCCGTGCACTCCACAAAATTCCTTGATAAATCATTTGCAGTTCAGGCTGTTCGCTTGTGGAATGCCTTACCTGAAGATATAATGCGCGCTCCTTCATTAAAGTGTTTTAAAAATATGTTAAAGGAATACTATCTATCACTTTAGGAAGACATGCTATCGTATCATCCTGTTATATTTATCTTGGTACTGTTTTATTTTAAATGTTTGTATGTATATTGTATTATATTATATATTATATATGTTTATTATATTATATTTTATATAGTATATTATATTTATATGTAGAGGTATGTATATGTTATTTGTATGTATATATGTAGGTATGTTTCTCTCGCAATGTAAGACACCATTTACTACCCGTCTATTTAGTAACAGTCCAGTCTAACCTACGGTTGCCTGGCAGAAATTGCTCTTTAGCGATAAGGCCGCCCATTGTACAACTAAACTGTATCAATTGTAATTTCTCTATAATTTATGGTGTACAATAAAGAATTTATTCATTCATTCATTGTTAGCACTGGTACAATGGTGGAACTCGTACTCGTAAATAACACGATATTTCAAGTTTTCCATTTTTTATACTGGGTGACGCAAATAGGACAAACAGAAGAAAAAACAAATGAATGCCGCCTAACTAAACACTAATACATATGTAAATGGCTGTATAAATTTGAATCTGGAATTCCCAACCAAGGAGGAGAAATTTGTGATTAAAGTGGCCAGTATGACAAAACGCCAATTTCATATGTAAGGACCTATTAAATAGTTTCTTTTTCATATGTAGATGGTGTCTGAGACATGTGGTCGATATTATGTATGACAACGGTCATGATTACTGCTTAGCGGCGACCTACCGGGAAGAAAGGTTATGACCACGTTAATGTAAGGTGTTTTTATGGTTTAAGAGAGCAATTGATTTAATTTAGTAACAGTGCGACCAAAAAGTTAAAATAAAATAAACAAATTGTTGTTCAGAAAACAGTTTGTATTCTAAAGATAAAAATGAATTATTTTTACAATAGAACGGTTAATATAAGACTTATTTTATACGTTAATCAATTTACGCAGTTATTTTATTTGTACTTTTAATATTCAAGATGGTAACAATTATTTGAGAAGGATGTTAGTAGGTATTTGTATTATTGAAAATAAAACAATTAAAAAATTCAGTCTCCAGAACCTATAAGGATGCCTAAAATTTTTGCAATCCGGGCGACTGGCTCTTAATTCTGCTAAAGTTTATGTAACAATGGCGTTTCATTTAATCGCATTTTCCCAATGGCCAAATATTATTACAATGGCGTCATGATGAACTAACGATGGCAGATTGTTTTGTCATTTTGTGGTATCAACAAAAGATCTGCTGTCGAAACACCATTGAACGCTATAATTACGTTAATATTTTCTGTTTACTTAATAATAGCATCTTAATAAAGCTTCAGTGGCTTGCACTTTACCATTGTGCTATCTGCCTAAAGTCCAATATTATTAGTGCAATGTCATCCTCATACATCAACGGTTGGAGTTAAATAATTATATTGGACTTCAGGTACAATGGAAAATTGCAAGTAGTTTAGAATCTGTTAAGATGCGATCATTACGTAAATATTAGCTGAATTTGCTTGCTGATCTGATTATCTGTCTGTCTTTTTAAATATTTTAGTATGAGATAAATGTCACTAAATTAAATACAATATTAGGAAGCAAGTATTTATGAATAGGTACAGGATTCGTCTTACTATAAAACGAAGATAAAGTTAATACACGGTTAAAACCATTGGTCGCCTAAATTGGCAATGACAGAAGAGAATACTTCAATTTGAGAAGCGTTGACTTGTTTTGGTCTAATAATGGTTTAATCTTGGTACTAAATTAAGTCTTCATTTAATATACGACGTTTAATGTTTCAAATTTTAATTAACAATATAAAATGTGTAAATAATATGCTATAAGTACTTACATAGTTCTAGCACTTAGACTTAACTAATATCACTTTTTGTAAGTACCACATGTTTGGCTTAAAATTGCTTATGTAAAAAATTATGGAATTAATAAAGTATATGTTGCGATATCTTGATTTAGAGATCAGTTTTTTTTATAAAATATAGGGCTTTATGAATACCTAATGTATGGTACTGATATTATTTGGATATAACATTCAATACATTTTCTAAAATATTTTATATCAATACATACAAGTATTATAAATAGCTTCTCTTGTAAATACAATATTGTATTTATAATATATATTGGGAAAAGGCACTGTTTAATATTTCTTATCTTTTGCTATTTTAGTAAAGTCTATTTAAATCACAGATTTCAGTTTAAGAGATAAATCAATTAGATATGTTTTAGATTGGAAAATAAATATATCTTTTACATAATGTAACAATGTAATCAGCCATTATTATAAAAGAAATTCTATTTTTGGAAATTAATGATAAGCATGAAATTAAAATTAATGTATGACAATGGCATATACATCCCTAACAAACAAGTATTAACAATTTCATATAACATACATGGTAACTAAAATAAACGTTATCCAAAACCATTTATTTGTAGGCTTTATCATTATGATCTATTACGAGAACACTGGCGCCATAATAGAGAAAATCTATTTTATTTTGAATTACTATTAAATATAGACATAAAAATTGTATTATTAGTAAATAATAGAGTAAATACAATCAAATCATTTATATAGCAAACTACCAAATTATGAAATAAGTTGACGTGTCTTATTTATTTATCTATAGTTCAGTAAGGATTTATTACCCTAAGGATGTAAATCGCTATCGTATGTTTTCACAAAGTATTGCGTTTTGTAGTAAGGGGTGGGGCAGCGACTTATAGCGTCCAGTCCCGTACAACGTAACGCAGTATTTCGCAGGAACGATACAGAGTTCTATCTGTAGTTCTACGGATAGCGATACATATCGTTTTCATTCAACGCTCAAATAAGCGTAATTGTGCATTTTTTGCACAAATGATCTTTCTCTAATCGATTTTAAGTCAAAACATATTGATAACAAAATAAAAAATTGGTTGAAGTGATCGGAGACAAATTTATAATTTTAACACCAGTGTCCATGTAATAAATAAGATAAAAGTTTTAATCACCACCTGGTTTAACAAATATTTAAATTAATACTAAACAAACGTATACTAAGTACTTATTTCATGCATTGTAAATGAGAATCGATAATCGAAACTGTGTGTTATAAATTATTTGTATAAGTTAATCATTTTGTTAATTGAAAAACCTCGCGATCCAGTAAAAGAGCAAGACAAGACATAAACAAAACATTTTTTTTTGTTGATCTTAGCTCATCACCATGCTCCTAAATAAATCACTCTCTTAGACTGGCTGCATATATTCGTCTTCAGTGTTCGTTTTTTTTAACGTGAATTCCAATACGGAGTTCCTGTACAGGAAACCGAACACGGATGTATGCGGCCAGACTTTCTCGTGTTTACTTAACTAATAATTCTAACAGCACCCGCATGTCCATTGCCTTTTTCATACTCAACTTTTTCTTTTGCCGTATATAATCTTTCTTGAATAGCTGCAAAAGACTGACCCTTCGTTTCGGGTAACAAAATTAGTATAAACACAACACCAGCTACCGATAAAACACCGAAACCCCAGAAAGCAACGTAATCTCCTAAACTATCTCTCACTACTTGGAACAATTTCGTAACTGCAAATGTCATAAGAGCCACACAGATCTGTATAACACAAGTGGCTTTTGACTTAATATGGGTCGGAAATATCTCCGACGTTATAGCGAAAGGCACAGTGGCTAAACCTATGGTGTAAGAAAATATAAAAATGGGTATCACAACTATAGGAATGAATTTCAGACTCACTATGAACTCGTTGTTCATTTCTTTCATGAAGAAATAGGCACCAATAATAATGTTCGCTAAACCGACACCGCACGAAGATACTAATAATAGAGGTTTCCTTCCTAATCTGTCCACTAATTGTGATGATATGGCAGACGTAATTAGTTGTACAGTTCCAAAGAGTATACAAGATACTTCTGCACCTAATCCTCCTTCGGCTGCTCCAAAAATTTGTTGAGCATATGATATTATAGCGGTGCTACCACAAAATTGCTGTGTGAAATATATTCCCAGCAATATTATTAATCCTTTTCGGTTTCCTCCTACAGTAACCAAATCTTTCCATCGTCCTTTTTCCTTCATATTTTCGTTGACTAATGTGCTCATGCTCTCCAGTTCCTCTCTTATAAAACCTCTACCGCGTAGTTTCTTTAAGGAGCCTTCAGCTTGATCCAGTCTTCCAGATTTGATGAAGTAATATGGAGATTCGGGCATAGCACTGAATGTTACAACAAATAGAATTGGTATGGCGATGTTAAAACTAGCTAAGCCAAGCATTGAAACATATGGGCCGATGCAGTATTGTGATAAGATGCCGGCCTGAAATGAAGAGAAAAAGAATGTAAACTTGAATATGCATTATATTATTGCTTCATAGAGGTAAGTGTTTTTATTTATCTATATTTTAAATATAGTGTAGGCTATATCGATTAATTTTTAAATAAAAAATAATTTACTATATACATAAGAGAAGCACGATGGCGCAGAACTTAAGCTACTTTCGTAAGTGCCGATCATAGGATGGGTGACCGAAAATTTATTATCTCGAGTTCTTCCCGGTTAAGCGAATGTTCTCGGCTGCACTTGCAGTAATTAACACCTGCACTGTGCCTGCGTGGTGTGTTATGGTCCGATCTCCTTATTCGATTCTATCCGTATGGAACCCTGTGCCTAAGCAGTGCTGACATTAATTGGCTGATAATTATGAATATTAGACGACCTCATTAGCCGAGTGGTTTGCATGCCGGTTTCAAGGTATCGCTATCTCTGAGGTCTCGGGTTCGAGTCCCGGTCGGGTCAATGTAGAAAATGAAATGTTCTATTATGTCTCTGGTCTGGGTGTTGTGTTACCTTCATTGTTTCAAATACGGGGGCTATACCTACTCATCTTGGAATCTGAGCTATGTTTGTGATGTTTATAATTTATAATATATATTTATAGATGAAATATTGATTTACCTTAGACATTACAGTAATGAGAGTGGCCATAGCACCTCTCACTTTATCGGAGGCGATTTCTCCAAGGTACATTGGTGCGGCGGTGTAAGCTATGCCGTATCCCAGACCGGAGATCAGTCGGGACACGTAAATAGTAGGCACATTGTTAGCCAGCATCACCAGAATCCAACCAATGATGTAAGGCACTGATGCTAGCAGCAACGTCTTCTTGGTGCCGATTTTGTCTGCCAAATATGACGCAGGAATAGGACTTGCCGCTGGAAATGAAAAAAGATATGTATCATTAATTGGTGTATTATAAAAATTTTGTATTATTTTGTATCATTGATTTGCGATTAATTTAAAAACTTACAAATATAATGATTGGGAAAAGATACTTTTAACTGTGAAAACATATTTTAAAATAATTGACTTCTAAATAGCTTTTTAAGCCCTTGCCCTTGTTGATGTCAGTAAACTTGTTTTTTATTTTTATTTGTTTGCGTGTTTCTCTAAGTTGAAAGGTTTAAACAAACGTATTTCTCTAAGTTGAAAGGTTTAAGCAAACAAAGAACCATTGCAATTCAATGTCTAGTTTTCGGAAATACATGGAGAGACATACTTTGTAAGACACTTATAAAAGCACATCTATTGACCCTGTTTTTTAAGGGAGTGAATACATTTTTTCCCTTAGACCACGTGGGCGAAGTAGCAGTTACTTTTAATAATCACGAATAAACTTTTTTGACGACTCACTTTTTCATGAAAACAGAACTAGACAAAATAATACAAACTTACGATAGCGACGACTTATTTGAGCATTTGCCTGGCTAAGACCTAGTATTTATTGTAGAGATTTAACTAAGTATGCGTACATACATCTCGTTACGCCTTCCAATTAATAAGGATTTTACTAGATTAGTCTAAGGCAGAAAGAAATATACGTGTTCAATTTTGAACGTGTTTTCGCTTAAAAAGTCTAGTTTAGGTTTGGCGAATAATTTCCAATAAAATTGATAAATAGTCAGATAGCGGATCTATTGGTACAAGCATTTTTGTTTTGATTACCTACTGATTTGATGTAAGGAAAGCTTTTACTGTTATTATAGTAAAAATGTATGATATATTTTACCAGGAAAGTTGACTAATTTGCAACTTATTTCTTTGGAAATATTTCGTCAGGCTTTTTGAATACATTTGGAATATATGTTACAAATTGAACACGCATATTTCTTTCTTCCTTTGACTATACAAGGTTATGGGTAATTAGACCGGATTCTTTTAAGGGGCCGTAGGAGAGGTTATATAATTATTTTCACCCCACATTGTATAATCCGAAAGTAATTTTTTTAATACACTTTTGTTTGCAAATTTACAACAACAAAAACTTTTTTTTTTAAATTTAAAACTCTGTAGTTACTGTTTGGGTCTAGATTATTTGGGTTTTATTATTATTTATCACCAACTGGAATGTTATCTCTCCAAGGGTGTCAACAAAATTAGATTCAGACCATAATTTAATATTTTTTCAACATTTCTTAAAGAAAAAAAAATACAATTTATCACAAAAATTACTCAGTTTCGGATACATAATGTAAGGTGAAAATAATTGTAAATGCCCTTATCTACGACTCCTTAAAAGGATCCGGTCTGATTATCCATAACCCTGTATATTAAAAGAAAGTTGATATTACCTGAGCAAAGTATCATAAGCGAGACGATCCAGGAGCTCTCGTCGTTGGATGTCTTGATGGGCGAGTCTGGTGCTAGAAGCATGGGCAGTGTCGGCGACGTCCAACCTACAGTGGTGCCTGCCGCAGCCGCTATCAGGGTTGCTGTAATCAATCATAGTACTATGATTACTTTTTAATCAAAACAAGAAACCAAAAATTTCATAAATTTCAAAAGAATAATTGTAAAGCTTCTTGGTTACAGTAGCGGTGTGAATCTGATTGGAGTGAGCTAGGTTGAATGTCATATTGTATATTTTATCAATTCTGATATTATACGACCAACGATACGCTACGTGTCTCCCTTCAGGTATGTTGAGAATATTATTAAAAAAATAAAAACAAAGAAACTAATTCGTGCCGCTTGTGTCGCCCCTTTCTTTCATATACTGGCATCTTAGTATTATAAATGCACTCTAAAATTTGTTTTTTTTTTTTTTTTTTTAATTTAGCTATGTCTACTGATACTTATATTGTAAAGAGGTAATATTTGTTTGTTTGTTTGCAACGAATAGGCTCCGCAATTACTGGACCGATTTGAAAATTCTTTCATCTATGGGAGCTTAGGATTATGAGCATAGGCTATATTTTAACCCAAAAAATAGTAACTAAAAGTATAAAAATGAGAATGCAAGTTTGTCTATGGAATTAAAACGTCACCATAGTAGCCATTGTTTACTATTAAATTTGTCATTGTAATTATATTCGTGTCAGAATATGAATCGACATCCAAATAAACGGTTCCCTAGGTTTCCCTAATTGTAATTTCTCTATAATTTATGGCGTACAATAAAGAATTTATTCATTCATTCATCCAGAAGTCGCTGGCGGAAAGCTAGTATTTTATAAAACACTCGTCCTAGATTCTAGATCCTGTCATGCTTCAGATATACTTAATATTAAATTTATATGAGTTATAATATATTAGTAGTTGCAAAGGCTTTATTAAAAAGATCTTACCTTCTATTTAACGTCTTACCTTTTATTTAATTTGACTTTTATTTAAGTTGGAGTTGCCGTATCATTAAATAAAGTTTTACTTTCTCATTCAATAAGCGTGTAATAACGAAAAACAAACTAGGCTGCATTGTTTCATGGAACTACTTTCATATCATTTTATTTGTAACTGGTTTTTACTGTTTGATTTTCCATCGTTATCTATGATGTTTTTGTAAGAAATACTATCTATTAGGTACAGTCGACAGTGCATCAAGTTAAATAAAACTGTTATGTTTCCGTTAGAGTATATATAAGTGGACTCTGAAGAAAAACTAAACTCGGTAATTTTACATCGGTCCAAGTGATAACTTATTGATATTTTATTACTTATACTCAAGTAACTACTATTCGAAGATACGATATTTTTCGTAAATCTATTATTTTTCGAGGTAATCGCACAGAATGCAGTAAAGAACCTTTAGTTAGAATTTTTGCTTTAAAATCGGTTTGTGATCAAAATTTTGTATGTAAGTGTATCTTTTGTGTTTGTTGTCAGGGATCCAGAGGACTCTCTGCTAGTTTGTGCATCGGGAAGGAAGCCCCAATTAGAGCGCATCGATAAGCAGTTCGGTTATGAAGATCGCTTCCAAAGAGCAAGATGAATGACCTCACACCTGCCAGCATCAAGTTGGATACATGCTCCCCAACCGGGAAGAAAGAGAGGGAGAGGACAGACGAGAAAAAGGGGTAAGGAAGGAGGAAACAAGAGAGTAAAAACCTAAAAAAAAAATTGAACTGACTTCAAACTTCAATAGCATTTTCTTGAATAAGTCGCTTTTGAGATAAGTTTTATTTTTCACTTTTTTTAAGTTTCAAGTCGGTCCTATTTCTTTAAGTTTTTTTATTTCATGCTTTTTAGTGATATTGATATTTTTATATAAAAGGTAACACTAAAAATACTTTTCTGAAAACCGCGTCAAACCGTGTTAAAGTGCGAACCTGCATTTTTTGTCTATTAATATACCTAAAACCTTCTTCTAAGTCTGATAAATAGTATGCTGAAAATTGAAATAGGACCCCACCGAAAGCGCCAGCTTTCAAATAAAAAAAAAGAATCAATAGGATCGGTTCACCTCCTAAAACGTTTTGAGGTAATAAAGATCACGCATACTTAATGCAAATTTAAGACTTATATGGTTTTCTCATAGATGCTATTGCTAGATCTGGACCAAATTGAAATGGGTTACACGGCAAGCACTAGCTTTCAAATAAAATAGAATCATCAAAATCGGTCCACCCAGTAAAAAGTTATGAGATAACAAACAAGAAAATAAAACCTCCTCTTATTTTTGAAGTCTATAAAAAATTAAAGGTGGGCAGATCGAAGGAAGGTAGGGTGTGTTGCAGTATGTCAATACACATACCATTGTCGCGCACGTGTATCGACGTATAGCATATATAATGAATAATATTCGAATATACAAAATAAACATAATACGGTGTTTAATGGCGCTAAATTGTATTGAATGTTTTGAACTTGGAATAGTTCGTCTTAATAAGTTTGACTCAAGAAGATGTCAGTTCTTCTTTTGAAAAAGTTTTCTTAATTACGAAGGGGGTAACATTATGCATCCTGCATGAGTGGGTGTAATCAGTCCCGCGGGCACTCAGTCAGCAGGTGCAATGGGATCTGAGGCGTTAAGGAGTCACATGGACAGGCGTTGCACGTTCACATGGACATAAGTATGCCAAGTTGGCTCCGTGTCCAGTTAAATATTGTGTAGCGATACATGCAGCTTGAATTTTTTTGTGCTGTTCGCTATGTCGGTTCAAGCATCAGGGTCTATGCACACCAGTGTGGCCCCTGATGCCGCGGTTCCATTTTCCAGTTTACTACCATCTGTGTAAATATGCGTAGTATCCAAGCCACTGGTCTGATTGACTCGTTCGTTCGTTTACGGGCGAAAGTGGCCGAGAATGAGACACAACACTCCTGGTGTAAAAGTTCTGCGGTCACCACCCTTTGAATGTTAACTCAATCGGCTAAGCGATTGGAGCTATGCAGCCCGCATTGGATGAAATGGTGCGGTAACCTCGAATAGCACCTTTAGGTAGGTTAGGTTAGAAGTGTAGTACAAGGGTTGGACATGTGCTGGGCATAATGCATTCCCTTACGTCACAAGAAAAATAAAACTGGTTAGAACTGTAGTCAGGAATTTTTTTAAGTCTTCCTTATTGTTAACGTCAGTGCCCAGTTATACGTAACACTTCAACCCAACTATCATCTAGTTTAATCTTTAGCTCGTTGCAAATAGAGCGCAGAATCATTTACCGTTATTTTGTGTTAACCTGGCGTGCTACTGTGTGTACTGTGAATCATCATTCAACATAAGATTGCATATAAATATTTGCATATAAATAATATTGTAACATAAACAAATTCGCATTTCTAGCATTTTATGAGATTTTACAATAACATCTCCAGATAAACCGACTTTACAGTAATGCTAATAAGCAAAAAATATAGTGTCGAACGTAAATCTCTAAATAAAACGAAACAAATGACGTTAAAAAAGGACGCTGTCTAATGCTATAGACGTTCAATCAAATAAAACTTACTAAGGTAATAACTTACTAAGGTTATATTTGCTGATATACATACTGTAAAGAATCATTTTATTTTATTATTGCAGCAACTTTTGCAATAGTTGGTCATAGGATGGGTGACCAAAAATTTACTGTCTCGAGCTCTTCCGTGCTTCAAAAGGCACATTAAACCATCGGTTCCAGCATCTGCAATCGATGCATTACCCACCAATCCGCACTGAGCCCTCGTGGTTGGTCATGGCCTATTCTCCCTATTCGATTCCATCCATAGGGAAGGCCACTTCATAACATACTCTATTATATCTTTACTGTTCTTTCTCTAAGATTTCCCTCACAAGCCAGTACTTCATTACTGAGGGCTGTGGTCACTGGAACTCATCGAAAGATCAAGAGTTTCTTTTTGGCTTAATTATTTACGAATGTAAATAGAAAATACAAATGTTAATGAATAATTACATTAGGCCTCTAATTAATAAATGCGTCTCTCCACGGAGACGCTTCAGCGTGAATAAATAACCGCCGTCAATTACCCGATTTTAATTAAAAATATAACGTGACGTTTGGTGACGTTAATTTATCGTTAAAATTATAAAATACCAAAGAGATTTAAAGCGAATTGAGTTTCTTAATCACGAGTCTTTAATATGTGGAATAATGATAACATTTACTTTATTTATTTGTTATGTTATTATAGGAAATCATAGGCAATTCTTGCCACATATTTTTTTTAAATAAAAGTGATCTTGAATAATATTAAAAGAATGCTGTATCAGAGATCAGAATGCTGTACTGATAAATATCTTTTCATGAAAAATGCATAAATAATGCACCAACCTTTGTTACAGCAGTCACCCGGATTATTGAAAGGTTGTCAGTTAGAGTCCCATCTCGGGGCATTTGGTAGATTCATTAAGCATATTTTATTTAAAACCCTTTAAGTGTATCCAGGACATAGAATTTAGGGTTATGGTAATGGTCCGCCGAAGTCGAGTCAAAAGACAAACGAAGAACAGGCACTACCTAGTTTTTCTCGATTATATTAACAATAAATTTGGATGAATCGTAATGTACAGATATTTACTTACTTATTTTAAATAATAATGGGTTTATTTAGATATTCCTTTTTGGGTTAAAAAAATTGGTTAAACAACATCAAATCTAAATACTAAGTTGTACGATACTACTATACTACTACGATTAAAACTATAGGTTATTTTATGTCATATACATAATTTATCTCCGTATATACAGCAAGGTGTAAATAAATAAGATTTATTTTGAACAGCGTAGCAGCAGACTCGTCGTGGAAAGCTTAAGAAAACTTTATTCCGCTCTCATTGTAAATATTAAAGCTAAAAGTTGTAGCGCTTCGAAATGTCAAGTTGTGTAAAGACATCGCTTTCGTGAATTAGAGTTTTACTTGTAAGTTTAATCGTTTACTCATCTTTGCTTTTAATGTAACGGAAAATGTTAATACAATGTCATGGTATTTACACAGGTAATTTCTACTTTTTCATTATTCTTTATATGTAGAGGAACGGAATAAAAAAAAAATGAAT